GCTCTGTTTTCGCTGCCATTTTTTCATTATTACTTTCGTATTACTTTTGTGTGGCAGAGGTTTATTCAAGGCTATCTTTTCTACCCCTTGCACACATTTTCTGCGAAAACTGGACAGTAGTCCTCAATTTCGACACATCATAAGTTTTTAAAATCGTAGTCCGAATTGAGCATCGGAGGGTTTGATTATCTGAGGCATCTGAAAATTTGTATTTTCCAAAGTTGGGAAGCAGTTAGCACATCGAAAGGTTACTAAGCTTCGCAACTTGCTATCAACTATTTTTATTAGCTGCACAATGTCTTTGACGGAAAAAATTAAAACGAACTAATGTAAGAGGAACAGTACATGTCATCACGGTGAAAATCGCGTTGAGGAAATGGGCGCGTCTTCGCGAAGGTTCCCATACGATCCTCTTTCATACTTCTCACATCCGAATCTACAGCAGAGAATGGTGTCTTTGGATGCGCAAGAGCGTCGCTGCCACGTGGATGCTCCGCGGTTCAAATTCTACCTAATTTTACACAAACTGGCTTCTTCTTTATCATTCAGGACTTAATTAGTCTGTGCCACATTGGCCAAGAAGTAGAAATAGGAGAATTTTCTGCTTACATGCAGTGAACAGTTTCGCACTCCACTAAAGCGGCACTAACTGCCCGCGGCAGCGTAGCGCGTTTCTTTGACTGGAGCGAACTGTTTGGAAAAATAGCCACATGCACTCCCTAGTTGATGGACGTTCTCGAAATCAATCTTTCCAAAAAGGAGGGCAGATTCTGAATGCACGGGACTTCCAGTTTTGAAATTATACTTAACAGGAAAGGTCACTTGGCCAACCCAGCCGATTGTGATATGTATAGCCTATACGCGCCTTGGAACGCTCTCAACGCAAACGGCGTAACGAAATTGATGACATCAACATTTCCGACGTCCGTTATCAGCTCCTATCAGTAGTTATCACTTCCCGCCACCCGTCATCAGTGTTCACGCCCGGCCCCCTATATATCCTAGAAGTTTGAGCGCTCTGGGTCCAAAGGGAGTGAAGTTATGAATTTCCGGTCAGACACACACACACAACCGCTTAGCCGATTATATATAGTAGGACTATTATCCATAAGTTATGCACGCAGTCTGCCTGAGAAGACGATGTTAGACTTGTTCTTTTTGATATTATTCAGCCAAATTTCCTGCTTCAATGGTGTAGCAAGGTAAAATAGAGCCTATTAGCCAATCAGCATGTGAGCTGATTCAAGACAACAACGCCTGCACAACTCAGTGCTTATGACTAGCGCTGATGACCATATGCTCCACTAGAACGGCATTATCTGTATACGCTTTGAACTTGTGCCAGAGAGGCAGACCAAAATGCTCACGTGCTCGCACACCTGGTGTTGCTATTTTGCCAGCATCATGTACAGTCGTTCACAATGCTAATCGAATAGCCAGAATAAAATCTAATTCCTCAGCCGTTTCTTATAGCTTTTTCTTCAGTACCGCAAAGCCCAGCTTCTCCGGTTTCATTTCCGATAGGCAAGCCAATAGTCAACAAGTGCCAACCACGGTTGCACACTATTGTTTTCAAGTCTTCAAAGAAGAAGACATTGTTAGAATGTTATCCATCTTGAAAACCTGTTGGGAACAGGAATAGGAAGACTCATTCAATCATTAGCAATGCCAGAATTCATGCATTTTCAGGTGGTGGGACGAATAGCTGCCCTCACTGCTCAGGTCTCATCAGGACCAAGTCCAATTGCCAAAGAAATATATCATTTCATTCACATCATCACTTTTGTGGCGCTCGGAGTTGGAGTTACATTTTTTGTGCTTTCAATCATCTACGGTTACACCATGATCCAGGTGCGAATTCTTATTGCTTGATAGTGCACTGCATCACACCTTTTTGCATTTCGTTCTCCAAATCGTGGGTGGCGCATCTTCACGTTCCTTGAGAAGGAGTAAATAAGAGATAGTTTGGTGGTTCTCAATGAATAGATTGATCTGAAATTTACTGTTTCCAGTTACTTCACTAATTCAGGCTTGGATCGACTAGGCATCGTGTGATGCCCCGAAATAGGAAGTTAACGTGCCATAGACTGGGAGTCAAAGGTGGTGAACTGCGGCCGTAAACGGCGAATAATGAAAGGAGAAACAGGGAGGTGACCCTAGGATAGACGGCGAACTTCAGCACGATGTTGGCAAAACTGCTGCATCGCCCGGAATTGAACTCTCTGCTATTCACTTGACAGCGGGCACTGATACCACTGCGCCATCAACGCTGTACCCCGAGTACATTTTAGCCACCGTCTATGGTCTCTTCAATCTCCATCCACTTTCTCCTTTCTCTGCCGGCTCGCCGTTTTGGCAAATTGCCACGCCGTCTTTCTGCGTCCCTGCCATGCCCATTGATCCGCTGGTCCCCTCTCCCCCCGACGGCTGTTCTCTACCTCAGCAACCCTTCCAGCATGTGCAATGCAGCGTTGATGGCGCAGTGGTATCAGTGCCCGCTGTCAAGTGAATAGCAGAGAGTTCAATTCCGGGCGATGCAGCAGTTTTGCCAACATCGTGCTGAAGTTCGCCGTCTATCCTGGCACGCGCGGCCCCCGCGTGCCGGGGTGGGGGCGCCGGGGGCCGGTGGCGGCGCGCGCGGGCGCGGGGGGGCCGGGGCGCGCGGGGGCGCGGGGCTGCGCGGGCGCGAGGCCGGCGGCGGCCGCCGCGGGCGGCCGTGGGCGGCCGGCGCGAGGGCGGGCGCGGGGCGAGCGGCCGGGGCGCCGGCGGGGGGGGGCCGTGCCGCGGGGGGGCGCGGCGGGCCTCGGCGCCCCTGGGCGCCGGCCGCCGTGGTGCCGGCCGCGGCGGCGGCGCCCGGCTGCCGTTTCTCTTCCATTATTCGCCGTTTACGCGCAGTTCACCAGCTTTGTCCAGTCCTATGGCACTTTCCTACAGTCCGAAATATGAACTTTTCGTCAATAATAATTATAATCGAATACAACTCATGAAAATGCAATAAAAGTAATAGCCGTAAGGAGTTCGTGCCGTTGCGCCAAAGTGATTTTTTGCGTTTTTTGGAATTGTTCCCACTTCTTATCTCATTTAATTGGTCACCTGTAGAAAAATTATCTCTCTCTGTGACATATAAAAGATAGAGGAGGTAGAAGGATGATGCAGGAGAAAGGCGGAAATGATGGTGAGCAATCCTTCGCACAACAGTGCCACATAGTACAATGGAAAATGCACTATACAAAATTTGTTTCATTGCATTACTACTTTTCCTATATTCAAACTGATACTTGTGAGTGCAATAGCTTGACGAACAGGAAGTTGTCAAGATTGCTTTTCAACCGTGTTTAGACTAGACAGGGGTGTCATGAATGTGACAGTTTCTTTTTTCAAACAAACGCACTATTCCAACAGAAGTTAATGTACCCAGTTAAACGTTTAAATAGCACAAAGTTCCTGACCGACAAGAATTCTGAGAAGAATTCGGAGAAGCATGTGCACGACAGGGATCAGTTACATGGTTGCCAGGGAAGCGAAATGTGGCGCTTTTGCAACGAAAGGTGCGCTGATTGCTGAGAGGACTTCAAAAGCGCCCGCACTAAAAGCGCCGCCAATTTGCTGTGATCTGGAGGATGATTGAAGCCAGCAGCGGTGCAAATGGACATGGTTTTTTTGTCTGTTTTGGAGCAAGAAGAAATTTCAGGCTCTCATCTTCTTCATGGGAATAGTTGTTGCTAATGTGCCGGAAGGTATCGTGGCGACCGTGACGGTTCGTTTTTTCGTACAGATATAAAAATACTTTATTCCCGAGCAAATTCTTCTACAGCGAATAAATCTTATTAAGGTGATAGCAAAAGTCTCATTAATGTTTGTCAACGGCTTCTGCATTAATTTACAACAGGCACTGTTTTGTTCGTATGATCTGCCCTACTGGCTTAACATATGTCCCTCATTTACGTTCTGGGTCTTTCTTTCTTCTTACGTTTTGCGAGCGTTTCTGAAAAGCTTCCCGTTGTTCATGAGGGAGAAAAGGTGAAGTTAGGCGATTTGTGTAAAGGTGCATATAAAAACTTCAAATTCTTCGGGGGGCGCAGCTTTCTACATCCATTCAGAATTTCAATTGCATTCTGAATGCTTAAAATGGTACCAAATAACTAAGCTGGACTGATGGGAGGCTTAGTTGGCCTGGACGGCGAGCATGAGACAAGTCCATCGTTGAATACCGTACACATTAGCAGACAACACTTGGACCGGTGTTCAACTCCACGAGTGCCCCAGCTTGCTTATTCGTAGCAAAATTCGCGTTGCGTATGACCGGAAATAGTGAGTTAGCGAATAAAAGAAAATGTGGCGATGGATTGAGTTTTTAGGTCTGCCTAACACTCACGGCAGTGAAAATGAGGAAGAAAAATTGTTTGGTGAAAAATCTCGAAGCGGTTGAAACTCTTGGTTCCACATCCACTATCGTTGCGGATAAAACAGGAACGATACGCAAAACGACTGACCATCACATCATTTTGTGTAAGAATTTTCTAACCTATTGTTCCAGTTTACCACCCACTAAAACCACAATGTCGTGAAGGCCGATTCGAACATCAGGTTTTCAACCTTTCAGTGGCGGAAGCAATTGCAGCTGTAAGGAATTCAGAAGAGTAGAAGGTTCTGTTGTGTGACGTAAAATGATGTAACGGACAGTTTCCCTTCTGGAAGATGGGCGCGCAAGAATGATTCACCGCATGAAGGCCCTTCAGCTGTAATTCGAGGTGGCAGCATTATGCAGGGCAGAGCAAGTTCAAGGTTTGTGTTGAATTCTCCAGGGTAACTCTAACGTTTTCAGCCTTATAACTTTAGTGAAAATGTTGAGGGTGAAATACGAAACGAGAATGCTTCAGAGCGAGGACTTCTCAGTGCCACTCCCCAGAAGAGAAGTGTCTGGTGATGCATCAGAGACAGCCATCATGAAATATTGCGAGTTGATCCTTGGGAATGGAGGAACCGGACCACAAATGCGTGACAAGAGTCCGACAGCTTTGCAGAGTCATTCAATCGCCAACACGTACAGGTACGAATGCCGCAGGAGTTCCTTCTGGCGAGGCAGATACGCGCTGCATCTCCAATGTTCTCATAACGATATCAACACACATTAATTCTTACCAGTACTATCTACACATGTTGGTGCAGCTCTAATAGATGGCCTTCTGAAATCGAAAGCTTTCGAATCACACTCCATGCACATGATCAGACCTTTTCAACAGATCAGCAGAGCAGCTCCTTCAATGTCAGTTCTAAACATCTCCGCTCATTAATAAGATCAGTGGGCCGTCAACATATCCTTTCTTGTCCGGTCTGCCGGACTGCTTCGACAATAAATCTGTGCAAAACCTGGCCTACTTCGGTGCGTGCTCCGCCCACAATTAGCATTTTGGTTCGCGTATAGGAAATACTGGGTTAGGGTTGCGAGGAAAGAGGTTAACTGCTATCATTGGGAGCTCCGCTCACAAATAGTAGTTCTAGTCTCTCTTACTCTCAAACACCCCATGTCACGCTTTTTCGCCCGGTCCGTCGCTTCTTGAACCGAGTTATAATTTTCGGGGATAACTCTGCATTTTCAACTGCCCGCCCACTAATATATATAAGCTCCCCTCCCCATCCCCACCTGCCCATCCACCTTTTTCCCGGCCTCCGGGACTTCTTGGAGCCGACTTATGAATTTTCGTCGCAAACTCCGCCCACTTTGGTCAAGCCCCGCCCACCATTGACAGCTGGCCTCCACTCCTCCATACACCTCTATCCACCTTTTTCCGGCTCTTTAAGACTTCCCCGACCCGAATTATGAGGACTTGTAGAAAATGCTGTACACTTCAGGAAGCAATTAGTGTAAGGACGAAGTTATTCGCCCATTCTGGGCGGGCCTCCGCCCACGTCATGTATGCAGGAAACACCTTAGACATTGCTCCCTTACACCAAATTGTTTTCTGCTCTGTAGGCTTTCTCCAACCGAGTTATGAAATTTTTCATAAAGCACTGCTTTTTTAGAGAACGCCCCGCCCACCGGGGGTGGGTCTCCCTAATTCGATGTGACTTACCAATGCACACCTTTACCCACTTTTTGGCCCAGTTTCGAGGTCGTTTTCTAAGAGAAATTAAAATCTCGGTCGTCAGTACACTTCATGTCGACGCACGCCACGCCCACTGTGGGCGGGGCTCCGCTTAGCTGATGTGTGTTTTGTACTTTCGTGAGACCTTGCCCACCCGTCCCACACTTGACCCGGTCCCTCCAGGCGGATCCCGAGGAGCTAGGGAATTTCGTGACAGACATACAGACAGACAGACGACAGACGACAGACAGACGCAGACGACAGACGACAGACGACAGACGACAGACGACAGACGACAGACGACAGACGACAGACGACAGACGACAGACGACAGACGACAGACGACAGACGACAGACGACAGACGAAGCGCTTTATAGTTAGTAGGATGGTCTGGCTAAGCATCCTTCGCATAAGCATCTTCTTTCTTATTTTTTGTCAGTTGTCAATTTGATTAGATCCTCTTCTAACCGCTTCTTCTACGGATATGTCAGCTAAAGACAAGTGATTCGTCTTTCTATAGGCCTTTGTTATAAAATGTGGAGTTACTAAATGACGTAGCGAACCAAAGTTTCGCAAATCTCCGGTTTTATCGAGCTCGTTTCCGACAGACGCTGCTGGTTGTTGTCTTCTTATATCGTTCTGAGAGCAAGAAGGGACAATCCACAACGTAATGAGAAGCGAATGGGAGTAATGCCGCTCATGTGTAGGGAATTGCAGGAGCGTGGAATATACAGAAATAAGCTAGGGAGAGGAGAAATCCTGGAGGTCGAGAGCACCTCACTCAGTCCCTCTGGGCGTTTCTCCTCTCCCGAAACTCAATCCTGGTCTCCAAATGCTCTGTTTTAAGTGTTCTTCCTAAGGCTATGAACGGTGTGGAATACAAATGCGTGTGTTCTCTAGAGGCCCAAGTGTCCACCTCATTCTTGCATACTGTTCGTCGACGCATAAACTAACTGAAAGGCTGGAGGCGGTAGCAAGTGTTCGCTCTTGATCAATCCAGAGTCGCGTATCATTAAATCGTTCAACGCTGAAAGGATAAATCGCCTGATTGGGTTCACATCCTGGAACGCGGAGGTGTTAATTGGCGTCCTTGGCTCTTATGCCACATAACCATATGCATCCTGTTAGTAGGCCAGAGCGGAAAATACTAAAAAATGTTTGCTACAGGTCTCAATCCATCAGAATGGCGACCGCTATCTATTAGTAATGAAAGGAGCACCGGAGAAAATTCTCAAGGCATGTTCAACGCTATTGACCGAGGGAAACGAGAAAGACAAAGACAAGAAATTTGAAGAAGATTTTATCAAGGTCTGTTTCAGCACAGTCTACAGAAAAATAAGCTTTCGGCTCCACATATGTTGCATGCTTTGTTAATAAAACTAATATTTACAGGCTTACGAAACGTTGGGAGGGTTTGGAGAGCGTGTATTGGGATTCTGCGATCTGGACCATGTATCCAGAAAAGTTCCTCTGAACTACGTCTTTGACCGAAATCCGAATTTCCGCTAAAGGTAAGATGTATTCAAAAAATTAGAGTGCTCTGAATAACTTTTATCTTGAAAAAGGAAACCTTTGAACGCAAATAATAATATCGCCGGCAATTTGTCTTGTCAATTTCTAATGAGCATAGAAAAAGCCAAGGAGAATTCATGTCCTTCGAAGTCCCAATTTGTATCACGTGTGTGAAGGACAAACAAAAAAAGATTTATTTGAATACCAAAATTGAGAAACAATAATGATTGGAAAGACCGCCAGTAAGTTGAAGACACGACTTCAAGGACGACCACGAACGGGCGCACGGGTGGCAAGCCGTGGAGTGACACAAAGGGCCTAGCTGAACCACCTGAGGCGTTTACACATTGGTCTATAGTATTGAGGCACACAGAGCCCCTTAGGCTCTCTCTAGCAAGCCACTCAGGCTGCCTTCACTGTTTCACCAAGCCATCTCTAGGCTACCTCTATCAGTGGCCCTTTATCTTACAGGGCACTGCGGCTCCCGAACCTCTGCAACCCTGACTTAGCCTCTATGAGACCTTTTCGGGCGCGAATCGGTTTTCGCTCGACAATTGGCTCTTTGATTCCTTCGGACTACTAGCACCGCTTTCCGAGTCCTGACATTTTGACGCTTCGTTATTGTTGGGAGAAGTCTGCACGAGGCGGCGTCAAGGAATTTCCGGACAACTCGCGTCATCACATTAGAACATACTGACAGCGTCTTAAACGTCATGAGAAAGGAGTATGGTTGGCTCGATTCGAATTCGATCAGCTGACAATCTACATGTAGGTCCGATTTCTTGCTCCTCAGCCGGAAGCGTCAGTTTTATAAGAATCTCAACAATTGATTAGGAAACACGAAATAGGTTGAGACCACTTGTGTTAGCATAACCGTGTTTACATCATTTCTATAGACGGTCATCTCTCGCTCTCGCTAGGAAACTGATTCAAACAAAACTGTTTCAATTCTCTTTATGTAGGCTGCGTTGCGTCCAAGACAACGTGCAACCCTTCATCAGAGTATCACTTACGATGCACGACTGATGCGCATTCACTACTGGACCGTAGACGAGGACATCCATGTGTTTAGATTGTTGCTTTATTGTTTGCGACATTTAATTCAGATCTGCGATTCCTTGGCCTCATGTCTATGATCGACCCACCGCGACCTGGAGTCCCGCAAGCTGTTCAGCTGTGTCAGTCGGCCGGTATTAAGGTAAGCTCATTTCTTTTCAATACAGATCAAGTTCAATGGCATTAGGCCTGCCGTTTTCATCATGAAAACCAAGATGTCACTCCTAGAAGTAATCACCCAAAACAGCGAAAACAATCATGATGCCAGACTTGCGAGACCTCGTGATTTATATTTCTTTATATGCAAATCGCTGCGTCTACTACCGCTGGCCCATACTTGAAAGAGGCAAATTGCCCCAGACTCACACACACACTTACGGCACAGGCAAGACAGTGGCACCTGTGATCGTACCTTATCTCTAATTGTTAGCTTTAATGACCTCTGATGGAAAAGCATCGCAATCAGGAGAATTCATTCGCCAATATCTGCTTGGATTGTGGCACGTAATGCATTGATTTAAGGTGGTTATGGTCACTGGAGACCATCCAATCACAGCCAAAGCAATTGCTCGACAAGTGCATATTATCTCCAGAAGAGCACGTGTGAGTTGCTTTCCCAGTTTTTTTCTGATTGAATTGAATTACTGTTCTCTATCGTTTACAAACAAGAAGCTAAACTAATTCAATTGTAGACAAATTTGGCCAATACTATACATTTTGAAGAAGCAGAAAAATCTAGAATAATATTGGAGTATAACAATCTAGTGCTCTGATTTCATTCCACCCAGTCGACTAAGAAAGGATTGACTAGCTTCACGAGCTACAAGAGTTGTGCTAGCAAGCGAGCAAGGACGGGTGCATGACATTTTAGTCGCCGCACTTATTCCGGTAGTCAAATTACATATTTTAGACGAATGTCACGGTCATCCACTAGGGGAGAAAGAGATGTGGCCGCATTGCTTCGGAATGCGAAACGAGGGAATGTGTTGTGTTGTATATTCTCGACGAAACGAATCGAAATCTATAAGACATCTTTTGAGCCTCTTATATTACCTTCCAGACGGGTGCTCTTCTCGCGCGATCTGTTCAGAAAACACTTCGCACCGCTCCTCAGCAGATGACCTCATCGACTGAAACCCAACTTCTATAATTCTTTAACAATGGCAGGAACAATACTGCAGTTACCTAGTTTCTATAGGAATATTCATGAAAATTTTATCGAACAATCTACGGGAACATTCAAACCCTATTAATCTAACGCTATTTTCGGAGCTTTGACCTCGCTGTCATGATCGCGGCGCACTAGGCATTCTGACGAGTGGCTGTCTTCTAAATAGTTTCCGTCCGCGACTTGTCACTCAACCTTTGCCTTTCACTCCGGGACTTCTTCTAAAGCTTGGGTGACTTCTATTATTGCGTTGACCTCATCCACAGAGCGCCTTGCTGCGTACTTCGAAGTTTAGATGTTTTCGAATCTTCATTTGCAGAGTCCGCAGAATCATCTAAAAACCGCAATGCCCAACCTGCCCTGTAGAAGCGATTTTGGGCTGTAAGAAGCCAGAAGGACCGCACTCTGCGTACTACCCCTTCTAGACCGGTCTTTCTCGAGCACCGAGTAAAGCGGTATCTGTTAGATTTTCATGATTCCTTCCTTTCTTGAAACAACAACCCCGCAAAAGTCGTGTCAAAGAATCTATCCATTGGAGTAGGGGTAGAGTACAAAAAAAAAAAAAAAAAAAAAAAGCGCGGGGGGAACTTACAGTAGCCCCCAGAGTAGCACGGCTGTTGCGTTCTCGCTTCTCGCGAGTTGGGCGGAAAGTGCGGGACACTGAGGCGTTCTTCATAGTCACATTTGACACACCGACACTTAGCGTATGGACGAGTTTCTTCGCGCCACACCCCATGAGAGCCAGACGTGGATTACGCCTGTGGACGGCTGAAATTAAATACACGCGGCGTTGATTAGCCGGGAGCAGGCAGGACCGCCGTCTGGTCCAGCCTCCTCCTTTTTGCGATTGGAATTTTCGGTTTCGAGAGTCACAATTTGCTTTCTGCTTTTTTTTACCAGTTTAGCTCCGCACGCAACCGCGCGCATCAATTGAGGGCTTCAGTGAAACTGGACAACTTGCAGAATATTAGGTCACGTGGCTGAGAAACTAATGTAAGATATTTGGAAGATGTGTCCCATGAAGTTCAAAGGTTGTCCAATTTCGCTGGAGGTTGTCGCGTAATGCGCGCAGTAGCCTGCGGAATGAAAATAGTACTTATCATGAATTCGTAAACATTCCAGCATTGATATCGAGCTCGGATGATTTAGCGGTTCTATTGAATTTCCACAATTGAAGAATCTTTGTGTAAGTGAAATATAATCAATCAATCAGCATCCAATCGAGCTATGATGGAAATTGCAAATATAATGGAAATTCGCTGTTAGTCCAAGTGCAGATAGTTGAGCAGCCCAACTTTCTTAGCTTCTTTCTTTGAATGAAAAGATAGGAATGGGACATATTCACGTGCTAGGGACCTGGTTTAGTTCAGCTGAGTGCCACGCTGCACGCTTCACTTTCGCTACTTTTATCAGTACAGTTGCCGCTCATACCACTTTCTGTCGCCTAATTTCAACCTCGCCACCTTAATCGCTTGCCAGTGATAATTATAACAAAGTTGGAGAGACCTGCATTCAGACGCTCATATCATTCCTGGTCATTTGTTATCAGTTCATACTGCTCGCAATCGGTGTCCCCATCCCACCCTCCAGGCAACGTGCAGGAGCTCGTGATTTATTGTCAACACGAAGGCTACAACGAAATTAGCGGTACTCAAAATCCTAACTTCCTTATCAACCGTTATCGCTTGTTATCACTTCTGATCATCCACTATCCGTGTTCCCGTCCCATCCCCTATACCACATGTGAGAGCCAAGGTTCCAATGTAACCGCAAGGGCCGCAACGAAACTGGTGGTATCCACACTTTGACGCCCCTTATCAGTTCTTATCAGTTGCTACCACATTCGTTCACTCAACTTCTTGGTCCCCGCCTCACCCCACATATCATACATGAGTGCAAACTCTCCACCGTCAACGCGAACGGCGTAACGAAATTGGTGACATCAACATTTCGGCGTCCGTTATCAGCTCCTATCAGTAGTTATCACTTCCCGCCACCCATCATCAGTGTTTGTCCAGCCCCCTATATATCCTAGAAGTTTGAGCGCTCTGGGTCCAAAGGGAGGGAAGTTATGAATTTCCGGTCAGACACACACACAACCGCTTAGCCGATTATATATAGTAGGATAACTATTTCAATCCAATTTCGCATCGATCTAGCTTCGTTACTAATCAATGTGATCCACGTGTTCTGGGGTTCTTCCAGGAACGCTCAATACACACCAAAGCGCTTAACTAGACCATCGGTTTATCGTTTGACACTCGGTGACAGAAAGTAAACCCTATTGCCGCTGCAGCATTCCGCTTTTTACTTTGGTATATTGTCGTAATAGTCGACGTTTTTTTTCAAATTTTCGGTGATCAATTTCCAAAAAAAATGATCATGTTGTATATTTTGTGGTACAAGATTGTTACTTCAGGAGGTATTCTGCCTAATCTTTGAATAAGCAGTCGCCCGGTGTAGCCGCTCGATCCCGCGAGAAGGAGTAGGGCCCGGCGCCAGTTGGACGATCCGACTGGCATGGAATGAGCTTCAAGCAATTCAACACGCAAAAAATTCAACAAGGATCTTTTCCACTTAGGGGGAGGGGCAGCATGACGCAACTATTCGAGAAGGCGACGGTAAAATTCTCTGATGCCAAGAGACACTTTAAAATTTCTGAAAGAACAGCACTCACCTAGTTTTGAATAGGATATCTCTTTGCGACTGTTTGTCATAAGAGAAGAAATTTTAATTCGTTAGCACGTTGACTCTTCCAAGCAGCTCCAGAAGTGATCATCCCAAAAATCATCCTCGTTTTTTGACTGTTCATTTGATGTGAGCCCATTCTGATTCAATTCGTTGTGTGGGTACACCAGTCGTGGAGTTCACAAAATTGTGGGCATAATTGACGATTTCGTGTACGAATCCGATGTTAGCCAAGTACCATAACCACGAGTCCGTACTAATGGTAGTGCCAGGCAGAACGTTGCGAAACATGAATATCTGCATCAAGTGTTGGACCATCTCGACCCACAGATCTCTACAAACGTTTTCTTCGTTCCGTTTTCGCCTCCTGGCCATGCGTTACGCACCGTTCTTCCCAAATTGTAATTCCTCCCCGCAACAAAAGTTTCATCCACTTCAACGATCCCGCCTAGACCGCCAATTTTTTGGGCTCTTCGTTGTTCAGGAAACTCTAGACGAAACTTCACATCTTTGAGCCATTGGTCCTATTGACGAATCGTTTTATGGTCCACCTCACACTATTGTGTTCTTGGTTCTACTGTTCCCATGTCTCAAAAAGTACGATGTCAGGAATTCGTTTCGTGACTTCCACTCAGCTTTTCAAAAACGCAACATTGAGGTAGCCGGCCTTTCTCATGATTCCTCTTCTTCTACATGATTACATTCAACTTTCATTCGGACGTCGCGGATATCCTCCCTTGAAAAGTTGCAAAGCGTGGTTGATCGCAATTGGGACATTTCCTATTGCGTCAGAGCAATCCGCGATCAGCGAGAAATGAATCGAATTCATCATTGGACATTGATGCTATTCTTGGTCAATTATTGCATATGGAGAACTCGAAAAGGGACAACAAATTTGCCTCTTGTAAGCCCTTAATTCTTGAAAATGTTCACAGAAAACAGAATAAATGAATGAAACTTTGGGAACGAGCGAAAAATGGTGCTATGTGACTCGGGCGGGCAAGCCAATTTTTGATACTTTACCCACTTAGGAGTTTCACCTTCTACTAAGATAAGTCTTAGGAAGATGGTTTTCTTCTAGTTCCTTCTTCGTATAACTTTTGCGTGGTTCATACCCTGCTCAAATAAACCCAATGGGTCTATTTGGCGCTAATGCGCTTCGGGGGAGGGATTGCGGGTTGGTGGGACGCTGACGGAGTCTAATGGCTCAAGGCCAAGAATGAGAGGTGGAGCATCGCGGGAGTGTGGTATAAATCAGAATGATATATCGTGAGCGTTTATTTGTCCCCTGAAGTCCTCCCCCCTCCTAGGTTTCACTAGCAGAATGAGAAGCTGTTGCACTCATAACTAAGCTTCTTCACCAACTGTGAATCGTCGTCCCCTTTTCATCTTCGCATCACTGATCACAAAAACTATTGTACTCAAAAAGCTCAAAGAGATGACTTGATTATGATTGGGAACGCTAGCAGTCGGACTTGCAATGATTCTTCGTGCAATTGGCATTGGAAGCATTAATCAGTGCTCGCTACGACAGGGTCAACCCTGCGTTGCGCAAAGAACAACGAGGGGGTCGTATTCAGCCGACCGAAAAGCGGAGGGGGTCGTATCCACAAACGGGCTGCAAGACGGCTTGAAAAGTGCAGTGTCCGGGAGTGCACTTTCCGCCTCTAATGTTCTCCAGGAGCTTCCGGGGTCCTCAGCTATTTACCCCCCCACTCCGCGCGCCTCTCTCCCCTTCCGGTCCGCGCGCGCACTTCCCGAGCGATGCACGCTTATTATTCTTAATCGACGCTATCCGGACGGCGCTTTTGCTCCGCAGCATAGATCAAGAGTACAATAGACAATAGCCAAAAACTTTGTTACAGTGCAGTGCAAAAACATGGTCTGTCTTCGATTTTGAAACATGGAAGGTCGGAGAGCAACAAATTGTTTTAGCAAGAGGTTCTATGGGATTAAAACGAATGTGAGTGCCATAGACCTGCACAATGACAACTTCAATCCCTCACTAACACCTCATCAGAAACAGAAGTACTTACCCACTCCTCCAGCTCGCTCCTCTTCGATCTAGGCTCTCACCTCGTCACATCCGCAGTGGTCGTCTAATACTCCATACATTATACGAAGTTATACGACTCTGTCAGCGGCCGTAAGCAGACAAACTTTCTGAAGAGAGTTTTGATGCTTTCAAATAAAATCTAAGCGAAACAAAGTGTAGCGAATTTGCTGAATTGAGTTCTAGAGACGCCGTAGGAAAATTGAGGCAGAAGAAGGAATTTCAGGGAAATTTTCACAGTTGTTATGATTGCTGGGACTCTTTCAAGGAGATCCCAACTAAATCTTTAACAGATTTCATCAAGATTATTTGCAAAGGGAAGGCTTTATGCGGCTTTACAAGGACTGCTCCAGTCTGCCCCTGGTCCAGGAAAAAGGCTTGAAAAAAATCAAGGTGGAATTGACGGAACAACGGGACTATTTTTTGAGCGAGTGATTATTTCAAGAAGTTTTAGCACTTATTCGAAAGCTCTAATCCTCTCTAGTTTCTAATTAGCCTTAGACATCTGCAAAATGTTGAGTATGAAGAAAGTTATTAACGTTTGAATGTCGAAAACTCGCGCCTTCTCAAAAATCGGACCCCAAACCACCCAAGAACGGAACAACGGGACTATTTTTTGAAAAAATGATCGCTGGAAAATTTTCAGGTGCTTGTTCGAAAGCTCTAATCTTCTAGTTTCTAATTAGCCTTAGACATTTGCAAAAAGTTGATTATGAAGAAAGTTATGAATGTTTGAATGTCAAAAACTCGCGTGTGCACAGAAAACGGAACAACGGGACGATTTTTTGAAATATTGAACATCCACAACATTTCAAATACTCCTCAGGAAGAAAACTATTTATATTTTTAAAATTTTGGTGTCCGATTTCATGAAACAGCTTCTGAAAGAAAATATAACCTTCTGAATGGAGGGGTTTGGATTGCAATGTAATTGCTACAAGGTTTAGTTTTTCAGATTATAAGGTAAGGAAAGTTGAGAGATCGAAAAAATCCTGGTGGGTTTCTGAAAGTAGAAATCTTTACGATTAAAATGATGTATTGGTTTACGCAAAAATTTGAAAATTCCTTCTATTTAATGAATAAAACTTCATTTGCCTCGATTTCCTCCTCTGAGCGAGACAGAGCGCGCGGATTGACCACGGTCCACCACTTCTCCATGTTGGTGACTGCCATCATTGATGAGCATTGATGAGCATTAAATTATGTGAAAGACATGATAGTTAATATGGGGGGTCGTACCGATACCCCCGAAAAGGAAGGGGGTCGTAAAAATTTTGGAATTTGCGCAACGCAGGGTTGACCCTGGTTCTACGACCGGTGCTTTGGAACAACAAATAAACCTAATGAAATAACGTTTACACGAATCATACACCTGTGACTTCAAGGAAGTTAACTGCACAGATGTATCCTTCAGCATTACTCAAATGAGTTAGTGCATCAAGATGCTCTTGCCAATACCTGGAGATTAGAACCTAATAGCAATAACTTCTCACGAGTATAGTAGTAAAAGGTTTTAGAATGGGACTTCACAAAAAAATCTTCGTGTCGAGGAATACGAACAACGGTCAGAAGGAGGTTTTCTTATCCTATGACTGCTAAGAGCTAATGCTAACTTGATAAGCGACGAACTAAACAATTGCAAAAAAAAGTTGAGATTCAGCGGTTGGGTCGTATAAAGTAAAACAGTAAGAAACTTTTAAAAACTTGCTCAACTGGATAAGAGAGGGGGCAACTGAATGCAGTGGGCATCAACAGAACAAAGGAGAAAACGTAAAGTTTCCTCTTGGTTTTTCTGAGCACTCCAGAAAGAAAGTGCGGCGTGCAGAATCAAAGAAATTGGAAGCTTCAGTCGAGCCACGACTCTGTTAATAGCGAAGAATGGGAGCAGCAATAGGGACGAACGGGGTAACTCAAACTATAGACAGCTCGTGCCGCCACCCAAAAGATTACGGTGACTGCAGTTCAGGTTGTCGTGGCGCGACTCGCGGCGTTGGAAGATCACGAATTGGTTAAGCGCTCACCTACTGATTGTGCATGCTGTACAATAGTGAAGTACACCCGACATGAGTAGCATCATGAATACAAAATGGAACAGATTACTTCAAAAAGCATTACATTGCATTAAATCACAAGAAACATACGTGGCCGTTCATAGTAAGGATAATATCTTCTTGGGTAGCTCATGATCATGGCAAAATGCGATGATTACAGTGAGCAAGTGTTCGGTCTGAAGTGGTCTGAGAGCGAAACAAGTGATGAGATGCGAACCAAAAGTTGCCAGTCATAGCAACTCTGAAGACCAACTAGAATGTGACGGCGAGTTAGAGGCCAAATAACTGAGTTCTAATTTAAAAACTTTCATACGCGAGCTCGTTTGAACAAGGACACACAACGATTTATCCTTCCTTGTCCCATCAGTTTAGCGTTATATTCGAAGTGGTGTTGTTAATTCATTAAATAGTGAATGTAAAATACTTCTTGGCAACGTTAGAATCGCATGCACCCTTTCAAGTTACTGTGTCATAGCTATCCTGCGAGTTATGCAAATCTTTTCAAAATTTGTATTTGTTCAGGTAACAGAAATTATTGAAGATGATGAGGAAGCCCCAGAAAATGAAACTTTTGGCAAAGGAAGGTAATTTCTATATATGCCGGGCTCACTGATCGGAAAATCTTTCAAAGATTCAGGTTACAACCTACTAAAGCCATAATTATTCATGGCGAACAATTGAAGCAAATCAGTGGCAGCACACTAAAAGAGATTGTCAGTCATTACCAGCAGGTAAATCATTCTTTATTTCTTGACTAGAAATCAATAGAATTGCTACAAAGAATGAAAGAGGTAACAATAAGTTAGAGGGGTATTTTAAAATTTGCCTTCCGTTTCCTACTTGCCCCTAGACCGAAAACAAGCGAACACCGCTACCCTCCATTGTGTTCATTTGCAAGGAAGTAGAAAAAAGATTTGGATTGGCATATAAAATAATGATTAGAATAAATTTGCTGCCAAGAAGCATAGAGGTTCAGCACGCATAGGAGCAGCGTTCATGTCGGCGTGAGGGTACGATCAAAGTCTTTTTCACCGCGCTCTCGCCGCTTGACACGTGTGGTCAATGGCAAAGGCTCTAGCAGCCTCAACGGTTGATGCTCATTACCATGACCCGTCAAACCTATACATATGAACGGCCCACATATCACGACCATTACGGCCTACAAGCTGTGCCTCTATTTTACAGCGAGTTCGACCACATACTGAATATAGGCATGAATGTAGGCTACCTAAGTATCAACAAGTAAAATAAGCAATGAACT